GACATCAGCCTCTGGTCTCTATGTGCACACATGCACACACGTGTGTTACACATGCACCAGAGAGAAGAAGGGAAGATGGGAGGGAAAATGATAGAATTTCACGGACACATACATTCTGGATTTATCTCCCACTTTGTGACAGGCACACACTCTTCTTGTATAATGGTTCTGCTGTCAGATTCTGCCTTGTTGTTGGGTCTTGAAGATGAAAGTCAGGCTAGCCTGGCAAGGACTCCCACACCAAGTGCAGCCATGGGCTCAAGTGGCCCACTGATGTTTGCTGGTTGCAAAACAAGGTGTTTACCATTGAAGAATTACATGTGTGTCTTCTAAAGAAGCACAGTGGTCCACTTGCAGATCCATTGCCTCCTGTCTCTGTGGCTTGAGTTTTGCAAACTTCAAGGTTTTGGTGCCCATGAGCAGAATGCTTCTCTAATGGATATAGCAGCTAGTTCCCTGAATTAGAGATGGAGGCTGTCACCTGGGCATTTCTGATCTTATCCCCAAGAATACAAATATAAAGGGAGTTACAGTGCTGCCTTGGTAATTGACTAGGCCATCAAGGGGAAACTCCATTAGTGCTACACAGAGAGAAGGCATCGAGGAGTTTTAACACCAGGGAATCCCCTGAGCCCTGAGGCATCTCCTTGCTCCTAGCACTTTCAAGGGTTTCGATTCTCTAGGAATAAAGGGTTAGGGCACCCTATCAAATAGTGACTCAACTACCGTAGCGCCAGCCAAAGGCAGGGTGCACATGGCACGGCAAATAGAACATGTTCTCAGTGCCCAAGCAGCCCTGAGCATCGCAGCAATGGGACAAATGGTGTCTTCCTCATGGCAGAAGCTTTCATTTCCTTTCTTCCCATCTCATTCCCAGAGCATGCTGGTAACAGTCTGCTTGCTGTTTACAGAATATTGGTGCACCCCCATGGAAGAATGAACTTAAGAGATGGATCCATTAACAGGATAGGCTTTGGGGTGTTTCCCCTTCTGAGAGAGGATCGGTGGTTGGATTATATGTGACAGTTTCTGTGTGTGTGTGTGTGTGTGTGTGTGTGTGTGTGTGTGTGTGCGCGCGCGTGCATGTGCACACGCACCTGCAGGCGTACGTGCCACTTGTAGTGGACACCTGCTATTTTTGACCCTCCTTTATGTGACAGCACATGGCCTTGTCTTTGAGTTACTAATTTCATTCCATCTGCTGCACTTGTCAACACAGCACTCTGCCCTCCAGCTCTGCCAAGAGAAAACAGATGACTCAGCCAAACCTTCATCCTTCCTGTAGGGAAACTGGATCTATAAGCAAAATGATGGAGGGGAACAAGTCTGGGAGATGGTTCAGTGGTTCTGGGGGAACACACACACGCAGGGACAATCACAAGCACACACAGACACACAGACACACAGACACAGACACAGACACACACACAC